GCAGCAGCAGCAGCAGCAGCTGTAGTTGTAGCAGCAACAGTAAGTAAGCAGCAGTAGCAGTGAGTTTAGCAGGACCAGTGGACCAGAAGCAGTAGCCGTGGCCGTGGCCGTCGTAGCAGTAACAGCAATAGCAATAGCAGTAGCAGTCAAGCAGGAGCCGGAGCCAAAGCAGGAGCAGGAGCAGCAGCAGCAGCAGCCGCAGGTAGGATGGGCGACTAACGAATCCAGCACGTCGTCAGCAAGCTTTTTGCAGTCCATCGGGTGCCGCTGCGTACGGCATGTGAAGACTGGTGGCCTCGTGAAGGGCGCGTCCAGTCTGATCTGAGGGCCCGTTCGATCCCCTGCCTCCGGAAGTGGTACCAAGGTCGCCATCTGCAAGCCTCGCATTGTAGATGCCGGCGAGCGCTTCTGTACAAATCAGCCGGCAGATGCATACCTCCGATGTGCAGGCTTCAGCTTGCGGCCCATCGAATTCTGCCCTTTAGTAGGCATGAACACCGATGGACGAAGACCTGGGGCACATTGACTCCCAGCACAGAGCATTCAAACACAGGCCTATATACCGATGCCTACTGTATCTGGAGCCACCATCTCTTCAAATTGGGGAGACAGCGTCAGCGTCAAGAGGGTGCATGCATAGGGCGGCGGTCTGCGGAGACGGCGCCGCATAATTCAAACCCTGGACCTGGTCTGAATAGTTCAAACACGCCAGGCGCGGGGCGAGGCTTTGGAGCTGTCAGCCAAGTGAACATACAACTGGGCGAGCAAACCGGTCTATCAACTGCCACACGAACAAAAGCCACATTGCAGCATAATTAGCAGAGCTTTGCGAAAGCTCTTGGACTATCGCTCGGCCAGTGTGAAGGCCACACTGAGTGGCGCGGCTGAAGCTGCAGGGCTGCCCCATGGGCTGATTTTAAAGTCAACCACGAAGAAAACTTCACTCTGACCAGTCCAGCAGGGAAGGGAAGCGTAGGGAAGATGCAAACTTCCAAAAGCCATGTCCACAAGATCAAAAGTTGATCATATCTACCTTCCCACTGCTCATCCATCCTTACCTGCCATTAGGACTGTAAAAGATGAAAAGCGATCTAGCTCCTGCCTAGTGCTTTGGGGCCCTTTATACTATACCTATAGTATGGAACCTCCAAAATAGCATTGGTAACTACTCAGGAACCCTAAAACCTAAACCCTAGCTCCTGCCCTGTGGGTACAGGACGCTGGAACTCCTCAGACCTCCCGCGGACTTTCGTTGCTTAGCAAACCTCAGCGGCTCTTCTTGGACTGCTAAGCTTTTTCTGGGCGAAACATCTATTTACATAGCAAGCGAGAGGTGTATACAAACATATATATATATATATACAAGTATGAATAAATAAAAATATATAAACATGTATATAATAGGTTGTGTTTGGTGGGTGGTTGCTGCTGTTATTGCCAAGTTGTTGCTGCTCCTAGCATTTCAGACAATCCCGGTCTTCGTCATGCAAACTAATTACTGGTGGTTGCTATCATTGGTGCTCGTAGTTGCGACGGGGGCGGTGGTGATGGTGGTGGTTGTCATGGTGCTGGGCCTGGTATGGGCATCGGTTGTTGGCTCGATCCGTCGAGGCACATCTACGCCACATTGGAGCCTACAGCATGTTCAAGGCAAGCCCTACAACCCCAAACCTTCAACACTCAACCCTTAAACCCTAGACAGTAGCAGTAGCAGGTGAGCCACTTTGCAGGAAAAAGAAGAAGGAGACCTCGGAAGCATCGACGCCCTGGCTGTACCTCAGAAGGAAGTGGCACATCGCATCGTGGATCCTCGTGTTTCCGTGGGTTTTCGTGGCTACTTAGGAGGGTTCAGAGTTGCGGATTGCAGACGTTCAGGTTTGGAGTTGGGGGTTTAGGATTTCTAGTTCGCTTAGAGCTGAGGCTTTGGGGCTCGCTGCATAGGACGGCTGTCTGCTGATCGACTTCCGAGTGGATTTCAGCCAGCTGAGGATGAGAAATCCTTCACGCCTCTGAGCACCCGACACGAATCTCGATGCCACCCATGCACCTACCGGGAGGATCTCAAACCACTCGAAGCCCCCTTGTTCGGAATCAGTCTCGGAGGGCAGAAACTTGCAATGAAAAGAAGCTGAAGCTTTCGTCAAGTGTTCACTGGCATGCATCTGCCTGGCACCTCAACAGGCTTCGGCACATCTACCCGAACTTCCAGACGCTCTGGCAACATGCGGAGGAGACCATCCAGTACATAGGCACAAACTGCGTTGATAAACCTGTACTCGCCCTTGCTTTGCAAAGCACCGCCAGAAAACCGCGAAACCCAGGCTCTTGTCACGGCAACCCAGACTATGCACCTCGGGCAAGAGAGAGAAAGAGAGAGAGAGAGACTTTTTGACTTTGCATTCGCAGAGCAATGTCTTGTCCCCTGCGCGGCTTAGCG